GGACCCCGCTGCCGCGGAGCCTACTGCCGGGAGGTTGGTCCCTCCTCCCCGTGTTTTGTTTGGATTTTGTTGTTGTTGTTGTGATACTTAAGGGTTTTCAGAGTGAACAGCCCACGGAGCTGCTCAGTTCAGTGGGGCACAGCCACAGCATCTTCCTCCTGAAACACAGATACACACACACACATGCTCGCACCCGCCCTCCTCCTCTGCCGTGCCAGCACTGGCAGGCATGGCTGACTGATGTGGTCTTTTATTACTATTATTATTATTTGTGTGTGTGGCTGTTGGGAAATAAAGGTTGATCCTGCAGCAAGACAAACAGCTCGGGGGGAGGCGAGGAGGAGGGTGAGGAGCAATACACCCCTGTGAAGTATGTGCCTTGCAACACTGTGGAAAAGCTTTGCCCTTTGCCACGTTGTCAGCGCGGGCTGCGCAGGCCCCCGTCCCCTCGGCGTACTATTATTATTATTTGTGTGTGTGGCTGTTGGGAAATAAAGGTTGATCCTGCAGCAAGACAAACAGCTCGGGGGGAGGCGAGGAGGAGGGTGAGGAGCAATACACCCCTGTGAAGTATGTGCCTTGCAACACTGTGGAAAAGCTTTGCCCTTTGCCACGTTGTCAGCGCGGGCTGCGCAGGCCCCCGTCCCCTCGGCGCTGCTGGGAAGCGGCCGGGCTCAGCGAGGGCTTTGGCTGCGCTCCTTGCACCAGTTCTGTTTTCCTGGCCCCGGCCCCACCTGACTGTGGGCCAGCTCACACAATTGTCAGAAATAAAACCCCGGTGGTCCCCCAGCCAGAGGCACGCAGCCCCCCGCAGCGGCGTGGGGGCTGCCAGGGGGGCGGGGACAGGACGCGGCAGTGGTGGCGGAGCGTGGCACGGCGGGATGTCCTCAGCCAGCATCCTCAGGCTCCAGCAGTGGGGAGCACCTCTCATCCCGTGTGGGTCTGTTCTCTGTGTCCCTAGCACTGAAGGCAATAAAATGGTTCTTTTATTTATTGTTAATTATTTTATTTGTGTCATTATTTTGCTTGTTACTACTGTTTTACTTCATCAAAAGGGAAGGCCAGCGCAGTCTCTGCTGGCTCCTGGGCTGCAGTGCAGCTCTGCTCGGCACAGCCTTGGCACTGCCCACGGTGGGTGCACCCAGAGCCCCTCTCCTGCTCCTCACCCGCACCTGGGGAAGAGCAGGCTAAGGGGGGCGGGGGGTGTGTCTCACCACAGCCCCCAGTGTCCTGAGGGCAACTGCAGTTGTGACACAGCCAAACTCTTCCCGGGGCCACCAAGCCATGGTGCCAGGCCCAAGCAGCCTCAAGGCCCCCGAGATCCCCTCTGGCCAGCACGCCTGGCTGCCGCTTGGGGTGTAAGCTGGCACTCCCCAAACCCACCGCAGCCCAAAACCCCCTGTGCGTTGCCATGCACCCAGAGAGCGAACCAGACCCAAAGAAAGCCCCCACCAGCTGCAAAGGTACTTGAAGTTTTATTGCGGACAGCAGGTAAATACAAGGAGCTGCCGGGCGGAAGGGCTCTGCCTCTGCGAGGGCTCCCAAGGGCCGGGACCAGGGCGAGCGCGGCAGTGAGAGGGCACAGGGGCTGCGACCCTGCGGGGATGGAGCGGCAGCAGGACGGGGACCGAGGGCTCCCCCAGCTCTGCAGCTCCCTGCCCAGGCAGCCCCATGCCTGGCCAAGCAGAGCCTTGGCCCAGCAGCTGCCAAAGGGGACTATTTGGGGTTACAAAAATGAACAAACAGAAGCCATCTACACGTATTTACAGTGTCCCACTCCCACTGCGGGCTTACTCCAAACACAAGTTGGGGCTTAGGGTGCTCCTGGCCCCCCAGAGCAGGTTGCAAAGGGCAAAGCCCGGGCCAGACAGGACAGTCCTCGGCGTAAGTGCCAGCACCAGGGGCTGCGCTCGCAGCCCCACTGTACAGCAGGATCTCCGAAGGGCCTGCTGGCCGACGGCTGGGAGGATGGTCCCAAGAGACAGGAGAGTCCCATGGGACACGCACGTCCTCCCCCAGGACAGCCAGCTGCCAGCGTCCCGCTGGGACCTGGTGCCTGCAGCAGAAAGGCCGGCTTTGCACTGGTTCTGGGTCTCTTGCTGATCACCTTTAGCCAAAAACCTCATCAGGAGGACCACATCTGGGCCACCTCCTCCTCCCTGGGCAGGAGAGCTGGGTCTGCCCTCTCGGAGGAGGACCTCTTCCCAAGGGCAGGAAAATCAGGAGCAAGGTTACAGCAAAGACGAAGGGGGTGGGTCTGGCCTGGGGATCGATCTACAATCCACCATTAAAAAAGAGCTTGAAACAAAACCCGTCATTTACTCTTTGATTTGTACAAAATAACAATAATAACAATAAAAATAATAATAAAAGGTGCTGGTGGCCGCTGGCTCGCAGTGCCCCACTTTGGCGGGGGGTGGGGGTGTCTCAGTAGGCAAAGATGACGTGGTAGGTGACTTGGTGCCCATTGTCCCAGGCGTAGAGCAGGCGGTCCTTGGGATTATAGTCTATCTGCGTGGTGTAGGCGTACTCGTTCTCGAAGAGCAGCCGGGGGATGATCTGCGTGTTGGTGTGTGTGTCAAAGGCGTAGGAGATGTTGGCGTTCCTCTTGTTGTAGCTGTCGACCGCATACAGGACCCCGCAGATGACAAAGCAGTTCCCGTAGAAGTTCTTCCGCAGCCCTGTCCGCCACGTCGTCTCCTTCTGGGTGCTGAGGTCAGCCGCATTCAGCTTGCTCAGCACAATCACCTCCTGGTTGAAGCCCTCGTAGTTGATGGCCGGGTAGATGACCCACAGGCCGTTCTCATCCACAGCAAAGTCCACGTCTGAGTGGCCCCGCCACCGCCACGGCGTGGACTCCTCGTAGGCCACATCGTGCAGCATGGCCCAGGCAGCCACGTACCGCTGCTTCAGGTCGTATTTGATGATGTTGCGTGTGAAGGCCCGGTTGTAGTAGAAGGAGCCATTGTAGACAACGTGCCCCGTCCCGATCCAGCTGTATGGGAGCTTGTAGGAGTTGCTCCAGCGCCCTGCGGGGCAGAGACACCTTGCTGGCGAGACCTCCCTTTGCTTCAGGGTCGGTGGCCCCGCTGCCGCAGCCACCAGCACCCTCTGCCCCCAGCCCTGCCCACGCTCCCTCCCCAGCCACCAGCTGTAGCCTGGCATGGTGACCAGCAAGTCCAGAGCCACCATGGGCAGCCCGAGCTGCCCCATGCTCTGAGCCCCACATGCTGGGTACCAGCACCCAAGAGGGGATGGTCCCCAGGCAGAGCATCCCCCCGCAGTGCATCACCCCAGGGAACGGGGACACTACTTGGACCAGCCGAGCATTGGGGATGGCGCAAGCCCACCTTGCTTGAAGTTGTCGAGGTTCCTGAACTCCACCAGCGTGTTCCCGTAGTAGTAGTTGGTGACGTAGATCCGCTCCTCCCGGGCCAGCGGGTCCTTCATCCAGGCCCCCTCATTCCGCCCGTAGGTGTTCTGAGTGGTGGGCCCCGAGATGGTGGACAGCGTGTCCTTGCATCGCCCTGTGTGGGCAGAGGAAGGCTCGCGAGGCCCGAGGCAGGGTGGCCACGCTCTCCCTGCTCCTGCCAGGGGTCTGCAGGCATCACCCCCCCCCTCCAGCCCCTTGCCCACTGCCTCAGCCCGGGCTCAGCCCCACGAGACCCAGCAGCGCCAGCCGGATCGTGCAAAGATCTCCCCATGGCCTCAGCCATGCCCCTGCCCTGACCAAGACCTGTCCCAGGTCCGTCTCTGGGAAGGCCTCTTTCCGCCCTTCCCAGCCCCCTTAGACTGCAAGGTGCCACAGTAGGTTCCAGAGTTAACAAGCAAGTAAAACATGGCGCCCCAGGAAAGCATTGTCTGGTCACCAACTCCATGACACCTCCCACCCGTGACCAAATCCAGCTGTGGGACACACACGGGCACAAGCCAGCCCCAGCGCAAAGCTGGAGCAGCGCAGGACCTGCAGCACTCACCAATGATGTTCCTGATGTCCTCCTCCTCCAGAGCCTGCTTCGGGGTGGCGGGGATGGTGGGGCTGACCGGCGTCGCAGGGGTGCTCGCCTGTCCCCCAGCCCCCAGGCCGGCCTCCG